GTTAATATCATGTATTTATACTACATTTTCAAAGAGCACTTAATACATGTTTTCTCATTTAGTCTCACATCATCCCCAGGAGGAAGGAAATCATTATATTTTATTTATTCAACTTCTTAGGTCTGTTGTTGTAGTTCATAATTGATTTTCAATTGCAAGTAGTAGACATTTAATTTGCATGCTTTTGTGATTCGGTTATGTTTTTTCATTCTACAATAGCTGCAAAAGATAGTGCCTAAATATATGTAAACATGTGATGAATTCTCCTGGAGTAATACTGATCTCCATAGAGTACCGAAGGGACAACTACACATGATCCAACAAAACATAATTCTGTAGGGATTTCTACCATTTCATCTTGTCTCTAAAATGAAAAACTTAGATCAAAAGGTGATATAAGGCACTGTTTATATTTAATTATGATTTATGATCCACGTAAGCATTGACACCTGCTCCAAATCAGAGTTTACTTTTTATAATTTTTGTATCCAGAAAAGAAAATTGCATTTACTCTTTGCTTAAGGACTTGAGGGATTACAGAAAGATTGCTTTTACTCTGGGTTACGCCCATGGTTGCACAAGCGGAATCCAGATGGAATATTTGCTCTGGATTTGTGCAAGAAATTTCCAGGGTTATGTTCATGTTTATTTTTTATTCTATCTTCTAGAAACTTCACAGTTTTTAGGGTCTGCAACCGTTCTTGCAGAGGAATGTTCCTGACCACACAATTGGATCATTCCATTAGTAAGGTTCACCTGGAGAGTGTAGTCTCTTATTCTAATTATACTGCTCAGTAGAAACCAATTGCCTTTCACATGTCTTCTTTTATAAAGGTCTAGACTGTTCTCATGTTAAAGTGTCATATAGCAAGATTGTTTTAGTGTTTAATTACCAAAGTCTAAGGCAAAAATCAGTCAACTGTCTTTTACCTGATTGCAACCTACAGCTGCTAACATTCTGTCACCAACATTCAGGGCCTCCCCAGGGACGTTCTTCATTCCCTGAGTCAGTGAATCTGCAAATATAACACGTAACGCAAGCCTGCTGGGACGCGTGAGTTCTGTTGGCAGAGTGCACAGTGGGATGAACCAAAGAGATGTGGCTTTGCCTTCAAAGACCCCAGTCAAAGAAACAGCAATAAAACAGAGAGAGAGAGAGAGAAAGTAATTTGTGATTGAGAGGAGTCTCTTGAGGAGAAAAGAAGAGAATTCCCGCTGGGAGAGGAGTTTCTGCTTTGGACCGGAGAGCTGGGAAAGCTGATGTGAGTTCGTGACACTCTTTCATCACGTCTCTGAGACACTGATTGTAAGACATGTTGATGTTGTATGTTCCACTAAGAAAAAAAAAGTGGCTAACTAAACTACAGCCTGGTACTTTCCTTCACTTAGAACCTTTGTTTATACTCATTAGAAGAGATTATCCTAGACATATTTAGATATAGAAGTTTAAAGTCACATATCACATTAAGGTGAACATAAACAGGAAAATGTAAACAAAATAAATTGATTCGGTAATTCTAAAGCTTTCCCGTGTTTAGGGTTCAGGTGGGAGTGAGCAGAACAAGGCAAAGGAGAAGGGTCTGGTACAGAAAGTACTAGAAGCCGACTTTCAGGGTCGCAGAGAACCGGTGCAGTAGTTGTAGGGACGCGCCAACAAGAGACGTATTAGGGGTTACTGGGAATGCTGAGCACAAGTCGGGGGAGGATGGGGTGGAGAGGACTGAAGGGACAACGTCTCTGAGGAGGTGCATGGCAGCGTGGCCCTGGACAGGTGTGTGTGTCATTCTTCGGTGAGGGAAGAGACTCTCCCTTCTCTGAAAGGACAGGATCAACTGGGAGCTGAAGCAGGTGGGATTTTGCATTGAAGATGAGAAGATCATAGAGTTTCAGCCTGAAATTTTCTAATCTCTAAGTTGAATAGGAGGCAAAGTCATCAGCCAAAAACGAGGATTAGTGGTGAAGAGGTTATTTGCACTTTGGGAATTGAGAGAAGTTATTAAATGATCTTTGCAAAAGAGCAGAAGTGTTATCTGACTAGAGAGACTCTAGTCTTGTTGGACAGTGGTGGGACCGCGTGAGCCTGGGTCCTTTATAATCAGCTTATTTGTGTGCCGAAGGAACCCAGCAACTATTTCCTATAGGGGGATAGGGCAGAGATGTATGTTTGTATTTTTCCTGAGGAAGCGTTTACCCACAAGACCTTAGGGGAAACATCAAGAGAGTCAGAGTCATTGCAAGGAAGTTATTGTAATAAAATATTAGCAATACTGCCGAGCTCTTACTACATGCCAATCTCTATTCTAAACACTTTATGTAAATTTACCCATTTAGTCCTTACAATATTACTGTGGGGCAGAAACAATTCTATTAGCATCCTTGTTTCACAGGTAAGGAAACTAAGACACAAATTGGTTAACTTGTCCAAGGTCACAGCCAGTTACTGTTAGAGCCTAGGATCAAACCTGGCAGCCAGGTCCCAAGGCTGTGTTGGAAAGTCCTGTGCAACAATTCTTCTAACGTTAATGCTTAATCCTATGATTTTAATGAAATATGATCATAAATTTAAAAAGAGGGGCTGATGGATTATAAGAAAGAAAAGTATAAGATTGATGAATTAGAGGATTTGATAAGGTACTTATCACCCATGTTAATGTTTGAACTGTGACTTGTATGTGACCATTAATATAAAAATAATTTTATGCAAGTGAATAGGATAATCTGAATTGTGTCTGTTTAAAAACTGAAACTGCCTTTGTGGATAAGGGACCGAGGATGAGAAAGACTGGAGCATGGAGATCCTATAGGAGGCTCTTCCAATAACGCACTAGACAGGCTGGTGTCCCATGAGGAGTGGACAGTGAGAGCGGAAAGCAGTGACACACAGGGGCCACTACGGAGGAGGAATCAGCAGCACTGATTCAGGTCTGATTGGGAGGAAAAGGAGCCAGTGAATATTCTCAACCTTCTGGACAGTTCAACTGGATATGGGAACCATCACCAAGATAGAAGCAGAAGTTTGAGGACCGCAGGTGAAAATATTTTCATATTCCATTTGGGACGTTTGAAGTTTGAGACAAAAGAATATCTAGATGGAGGGTTTTAGTCGGTATTTGGTTATGTAAATAGTAAGCCCAAGGAAGAAATCTGTGCTGGATTTCAATAAGAATGAAAGTTACCAGCTTAAGGGCTGTGGTAGAAGCCATGGAAGGGACAGCTGTCACCATGGGGCACAGAGAGAGGAGGGAGTGGGGGAGGAGGGAAAACTGAAAGGGCTGAGGAGACACAAGAGGCAGGAAAGAAGGTCAAGGAGGACTGGGTTAAAGAGGCAGGAGAGCCACAGATATGGAAGTCTTGGAAACAGTGAGTAGGAAACATTTCAAGAAGCAGGTTGTGACCAAGAGCCACTGGGAGATCACAAGAGATAAAGCTAAAAGTGTCCACTGTATTTATTGATGAGGAAGTCATTGGTGACTTTAATTAGAAACATTTTATTGAAGCAAAAGGTGGATTACAGGGGCTGGAGTAGGCACAAGAGGGGGAGGAGGTGGAGGAGGTGGAGATGGCACAACACTTTGGAAAAGTTTGTTTAGAGTGGGCGGAAGAGCTACAGCTAACCCCACTGTAGCTAGTGGGGTTAAGTGTTTATTTTAAGATCAAGCGATGAAGAATGTTTATATGGTACTTAGAAGAATCCAGTGGAGAGGAAAAAGCTAAAGATACCCAAAAATGTTAACAATAGAGAAAAGTCCCCAAAGATGCCAGGAGAGGAGAGTGTCCTCAGCACAGATGAAGAGCGTCCTGCAGGGACAGACACATCTTCCATCACAACAAAGGGACAGCACGACGTGTAAGTTTGGGTACAAGAGTGCATTCATCGCTAGTGACAGGAAGCGAAGACGGTCTTCTATGATGACTTGCCTTTTCTCTGAGAAGTAGGAAGTGAGCCCATTTGCTGAAATTAAGTGGGTCATAGGAAAGTCAATGATCTGAGAAGAGAAAAGAGACTTTTCTTTGCAACTGGCACCATTGTCCCAATGTCTATGCTCCTTGTAACATGGAAGCCGTCATGACAGGGGCAGAGGTGCCAGGGCTTTGAAGAAGGAAGACTCATGTGACAAGCATTTCATACTCATGTGAAATAGTTGTCATTGGAATTCCTCCATTAACTTAATTTTAGTGTTTCTTGAGTATTTGTTAGCAAAATACTATGTAAATTCTGTTCACATGTCCCTTGGAGAGCTTAATTAGCTCTGGCTCCTATTTAGGTATCTCTGATAGCTAAAAGTGCTTTTCTGTACCCTTCATGTTTTACTCTTAATTATGATGATGATGATGATGAACACAACTAATTTCTATTGAGCCTTTAAATATACCAACCCCTTTTATAAGTACTTGAATCCCATTTAATTCTCATGAACACCCATGAAGAAGGCAGTATTCGATCACCTATTTTACAGATGAAGAAAGAAAGGCATGGAGGGAGTTAGTTATAACTTGCCTTGGGTCACAGAACTAAGAAATGCCATGTTCAGGATTCAGACTCAGCAATGTGAATCTAATGAATGTGTCTGCAATCTCTAAACATTTTCTCATGAACTAAAATGTTGTCTAATTGAAAGAAAAGCCAGGCTGATTATTTCAAACCTGTCAAACTTTCTGTAAGACCCTGGACCCTAAACTCATTTTATGGTCCTTGGCAGTCAGCAAATGAACTCACATTCTGAGACTCGAGGGGACAAGGTTACCTTCCTCCCCTCTACTCAAGTTTATTTTCTGATTGTTCATGAGCTCTTTGTTTCCAAGAATATGAGTGGAATGCATTGCACTGGGTCTCTCCAAGGCTGGCTTTTCCTGTTGTTCTCTCTATCCCATTGTCTTATGGTATTTGAAATCCTGCTCTTTTTCCAGGCATTTCCATCTCCATTCATCCATTTTCAGGAAGCTGAAACTTAAGAATCATCTGGGATTCCTCCCCTCTCACCTGCACATTCAATCAATTAACAAGATCAGCTGGCTTGACCTTAGAAACCTTTCCCCAGACCAATCTCTTCTCGTTACTTCTGGCCTCAACCACAAGCCAAAGCCCCCATCAACACTCATCTGCATACTTTTCTATTAGTATATTAGTCTGCTAAGGTTGCCATAATGAAATATCACAGCTGTAGTGGCTTAAACAACAGGAAGTTATTAATATTTTCTCAATTCTGGAAGCTATAAGTACAAGATCAAGGTTTTGGCAGGGTTGAATTCTTCGGAGCCCTTTCTCCTGGGCTCATAGACACCGTCCTCTTTCTGTATCTTCACATGGTCTTCCCTCTGCGTGTGTCCTAATTCTTTACCTTATAAGGACACAAGTCATATTAAGGACTACTCTACTGACATCATTTAAACTAATCACCTCTTTAAAGGCCCAACTCCAAATCCAGTCACATTCTGAAATCCTGTTGAGTTAGAGCTTCAACATAGGAATTTGCGGGGTCAAAATTCAGGCCTCACGGCAACTGGATTTCACCTTACCACATTAGGGTCTTTCCCCACATCGTGTATCACGTCATGTCACTGCAGTGGCTTTACCTCATGCTTGGAATAAAGTCTAGTCTCATCGCCATGGTTGTCTTGGCCCATATCCTGCCTTATTTCAGGTGTGAGAAAGCCATGGTGACTCAATTTCTGGAGTGTCATTCTCTGAGTTCAAGTTCTGGCTCTACCACACTTTAGTGATATGATCTTAGGGAAAATGATTTAATTTACTGAAATCTCTGTTTCATCATTCATAAATAAGGATAGTGTGATGGTAGTAGAGTTCTGGATAAAATGTGATAGTCCAGATACAGAACTCAGTGGAATCCTTGTTCCTTCAGAAGACTCCATAATCGTTAGGAATTCATGATGTTCCTGTAATTACTGACCTCTTCCCTGGATTGCGGAAGAGCTATTAAATAAATGACCAGTCTCTAAACTCTTCCTATTTTAAACTTTCTTGCACACTGTGTTTCCAGAGTTATTTTCCTATAACCTGATCTGATTTTGTCAAAAACTCCAAAAGAGCTGAAAAATGTGTGACATAAATGTTATATCCCTATTCCAAGAATAAAAGAGCTGAAAAATCTGGCCAAAACCTACATATCCATCTTTATCTCCTAATAACTCTTCTGTTAACCTTAGAAATCCTGCACTTCAACTTAGGATGTTTTCATAGTCATGGTACACACCCTACATGTCAGGACGTGCAGCTTGTCTCAGTCCTCAGAGAAGGAAGCCGTCCTTTCTTCACGACTCCACGTTTCTAGCAATCCTCCATTTGGAATCTGTCTTTACCATATTCCCTTAGCACTGGGGATGTGAATTTCTCCTGGCAATGCTTACCATCAGTTTTCTTCATTTTGTAACTATGAAACACAGGGGTTTTGGACCTTAGGATACAACTCAAAGGTGAAAAAAAATTACTTATTAATTTTATTTTATTTCCATATTGTTACAGTATATATTTAAGTTTTAAAATGTCCTAGTGCAGAAGGACAAACATCTTCTACACCACCCCCTTCAGAAGAACCACTATAATCTCTTTGAAATGCTTCTTCTGATGTTTATGTCTATATGTTTCATACTATATTTGTCCCACTCTTTCTCCATTTATCAATTTGATGCATTATCTCCTTCCTGACTATCATAATTGGTGAGGAACATGCCATGCCGTCTCACCTCTTCCATTCCCTACTCGTAATATAGTAATAACGCAGCTTTTGGAGTTTCTGTTTCTTACCTTTGTTATTTACAGTAACATGATTTTATTGCAATATCCATTCACCAGAAATAGTGTCTCTTTGCTCTTCACTTAACTTTGTAAGACGAGAATATCAACCTTCCTTTTTTTTCTTCTTTACATCACCACCCTGTTAACACAGGCCATTTCACTACAGTCTTAAAACAAAAAACATTTACATACTATTCCATAGCCATAATTGAGTATTCTATGGTTTTCCTCTCAGTTAAATCTTTTAACTGAGGCTCAATATGCATTTGATATTGAATAAATAAATATTATTCATTAAAGCCACACAGTATAATACAATTGCTTTTCTTTTCTTATACAATTTTTTTCCTGAAATTTTTGGTTATTTTCTTATACCAATTAGCTTTAACATAGCGTCCAGTATTTAAACTCTCTATGATAACATCTATTCTGTCAAGTCCCATTTACCCAGATACCTCTTTCCCCCAGAGCTCCCTGTCTAAGCCCGCAGCCCTGCACCCGGCAGCTTCCCTTCCTCTACCATCCACTCCACGAGCAATGAAAACCTGCTATTTTTGCTGCCCAGCATCCATTCTTTTGTGAAAACAGGAACCTGGTTTTTGTTCTGGAAACCATCTCTTTCCTACTGTCAGCCTATGAGGTTTGGTGCTGTCCTCCCACCACAGAAGCTCCGAGTGGGCCCATGGTGACAACACTGGCATGGCTGGGAAAAGGGTCTGACTTACATCCACCAGATGTGTCCTCACGTCTACCTGAGACAAGTCTCCCTCTGTAGTAGATACTACTTAGTAAACATTCACAGAAACCGTACATGCCTTTATGATCTGTGCCCATACTGAGAAGTCCTTCCACATGCCTCTTTCCCAATTTCCCCTGCCCCTGATCTTTTATTCTTATTCTTATCAATTTCCAAATCTTTAGCCACTTCTCATAAATCAGTTTAAGGTTTTGGCTTGGCTTACCCTCCTCCCAGAATTTACCGATTTCTCTTTAGCATCCTCTTCAGTCCTGATAGAACTGTCATGTGGCAGAATTTCATTCTAACTGGTGCCAGCAAAATGTAAGTTAGGCCAGGATTTTTTCTTCCTGGATTCTTTGTCCACTTATCATGGGGAATGCCTCATTCTCCTACAGGTGGCATTGAATAAATGAGGCAATATAGTCAGAATGGGTGTCATAGCAGTCTGAACCACTTGTGATGCAACTTGTTGTAACAGGACCATCTTGACCCAAAATCTGTATATGTGCAGTGCATGGCACATGGTTGCATGGTAACCTGATGTCACAGGGTAAAAAACTTTTGATCTGTACCGGGCTTAAGTAACAAGACAGAAGCAATTTTCAAAAGCATAACAGTTATCTGCATAAAATGAGAAAAATTTGTCCCAAAATACTGAGGGTCTTTCCTGTAATTCTTCTATAGGAGCCTGCAGAACATGCTATGCAGCCTTTTTACTTTCCACAGCTATATCAACTTTAGATCTGCTGGATCCTAATGTTCGAGTAGCTTAGCATCTTGCTCTACAGGCCTGCTACTGAAAGAGTTTTTCCTGTGCTGAGTGCCACTTGAAATAAGTAGCCTGAATTATTCCTTAGTTACTGGGTTGTGTAGCAGCATACCCAAGAAAAGTATGTTGTTTCTAAAATGCAGCATCCCAGAAAACATTTTAATTTTTTCCTAGTGGTTGGCTATGAAAGAGGCAAGGTTTGTCTTTCACTTTAGAAGGGCTAGCCAAACACATCATATCCCTAGAGAACTAGAAATTTACATGCTATTGCAGGGTCTGATTTTTGAGCTTTGTTTCTTCTCCCATCTTCTGGTGCACATGTGTCTTATGGCATCTAGGTGGCTGGCTGGGTCCTGATCGCCAGGTCCAATCAGCATGATGTCATTAACACAGTGGAACACTGGAATGTTCCATGCAACACCAAGTTGGTCAAGATTCCACTGGACTATATTATGACAGAGCAGAAAAGTTGACATAGTTCTGAGGCAAGACAATGCAATTGCACTGCTGTCCCTCCCAGGCAAAAGTCAAGTGCGTCTTTCTAGTTGGTTTAGAAGAAAAAATAACACATATACCAAAAAAATAGCTTTTTCTTAAGTTGGGATACTATACTTTGAAGAGAAGCTATAAGTACAGTTATTCTTTTTATAATAATCACTGAGGTTGTCTTAATTCATCCAGCTTTTTCCAAGACAGATCAAATGAGTTAAAAGAAGTTGTAAATACAATTTCCACCTCAGCATATTTCACATTTTCTTTGGTGGTATTAATTTCCCTAAGGACATGACATTACTTTTAATTTACTCTTTTTGTTCAACAAAATAGTTCCAGGGGCTCTGCTTGCTCCTTATTAACCACAATAACCCCACTTCTTAACCAGAGCGCTACTGTGGGGAAATGTTTCCCCGAGTACGTCTATTGCAATTATCCATTCAAGAATTGGGGAAATAATCACAGAATAATTTTGCAGACTCATTCAAATGGTTTTAGACCATCTCAGAGGTGACAGGAGGCTTCATTTTCGTCAGTATTTCACAATAATTTTTGAGTTCCCAGGAATTAAAGTCAACTCAGAATCAGTGTCTAATAATCTCTCACAGTCAGGATATTTGTTTCTATTCAGTGTACAACCCTTCTGACAAAATAATGAGTAGGGTGAAGATTTATAATATATAATATTTGTTGTAGCTACGTCGAATGGGATGTTCCCAGTGATGTCTAACATCACTTTCAACCAAGAAGATCAGCATCTGTGAACAGACTTAATTCTATCCGTTAGATGAGAAAACATAAATTTTTATTGGAGAGATTTATATTATAATTCAAGAGATTTAGCAGTTAAATAAATCAATTAGCACTTTAACACGCGCAACCATCTATTTAATTCCTGGGGGCAACACGACCAATTAATCACCTCTACTAGTGCTTTTGGACCAAAATCTGTGATTGACACTATCCTCCTGCTGTCTGTTTCCATAATTATATCCTCTTGTCTCTAGCATTTAAGCATTGCCAGATGGCCTCTGTCACTCAGAGCTCATCATTTCTACTAATATCAGGGAGTCTATTTCAATGGTTATATCTCCCATTGTTATCCTCAGCTCCAGTTACAAAACAGTTACAAAAAGAGTTTGCTGAGGATACTAATGTTTCTCTCATTTATGTCCCTTCTACAAATCTTAGTAAATCGAGTGTCTTCTGTCAATTGACATAGGAAAGGAATAGGTGAAGAATTTGCCTACAAGAATCCACCCGAACATAGTCATCCCTCTAAGACTTCATATTTCTTTCTTCACATTATGTCAGTTCTGGAATTTCAGACATGTGAAATTCAGTACACCATTGAGTCCATTGTCCACCGACCCAAGCAAACAAACTGTTTCATCTACATCCTTCTATTTGTACTAATGCATTAAATTCAGATTCTCAGGAAAATGTACCTAAAACAGTACATTTGGTCCAATCTAACAATATATTGGTGTTGTTGGTCTAGCAATCTTAGAATCCATTTCCATACATATCTTCTAGTTTTCTGCCAATATAAATTGGCATGATTTAGCAATGATTCATATGTATAATTTGTCTCTTCTAAGGGTAAAGCTTTGTGAATTCCCCCATACAAAGTATGCTGGAAGATTATTGCATCTACAAAACTGGAGGAAGGAGACTTAGTGATAATTCCATGCAACAGAGCTGCCCCAGGTGAGATTTCATACAGCTTTTAAGCAAGAGGATACCAGTCTTCTTGAACAGAGAAAGAAGGGGTAAATGTGATGGCAAAAGAAAACTCAACAGGATTTGGCTTCAAGATTCTCATTTTCCTCCTAGTCCAAAATCTCAAGGTTCTGCTCCTTTCTAATCCTTCTTCTAGCCCCACTTAAGAAATTTGGCAAAGCTGTGAATTAACTTGCTCTATAAATAGGCAACCTGTATAGTGTAATATTTGGTTGGAATCTTTAACATAATATGCAGTGGCTACCAGTAATAAGACATTTTTAAAGCCACTAATACAACTCTTTAATTCTGATCGTAAATTGAATTCGGAGTAGAAAACCCTGGTGTTATCTTTTTCTTTAAGATCTCCATTGCAGTAAGAAATAGAAATCCCAGCCACAGTCCTTGTAGACATCATACATGATACAGATTATGATAGTCAGGTACAGCATCTACTTTGCATCCCAATACTTTTCTTTCAACCAGCACTTCCTCTCTTGGTATATTGTCTCTTGGTATGTTAATACACACTAAAGTCCTTTAAGTAAATAAATTCATAAACAAATGCATTAGTATACATTAAAGTGCTTTGAATAAATATTTTTTTCAAATAATTTCGAAGTTATTAACTTTAAATGTTAAGCAGATATCTTTACTAAGAAAGTTCTCAGAACTTTCACATACTGAAGTACAATGTGTATAGAGAATCTTTTCCCTCAGATAAACGTCCAGGCCTGGCTTAACTGAGCCACTGCATAGCTTCTTAAAAGGCTGCAAGCTAGACTTGGCTGGGCCACACGACCATCTGAGACTCAACCGGGACAAGATCTACTTTAGTTGGCAGAATTCAGGCCTTGGGATTATAGAACTGAGGGCTTCTGTCTGTTGCCAGTGGCAGGCCAGAGGCCACTCCCTGGTCCTGAGGCTGCCTTTAGCTCTTTGCCATGTGGGCCTCCCAGCGTGGCAACCTGCACACAACACAAAGTTTGCTTCTTCAAAGCCAGAGTGGATGTGAGGAACTCAAACAAGATGGTCTCTACCATTTATGGAATGTAAGAAGGTAATCACACATAAGTAAGCACGCACACACACACACACACACACACACACACACACACACATTCAAGAAAGGGGAGTCCCCAGAGAGGTGAATGCCAGGAGATAGGCATCATAGGTGGCTACCTGAACAGTCCGCTTGCCACAGTTCCTTTTGTGAATAGCCTTTTGTTTCTGTTCATGAATTACCTCACTTAGGGGGAAATTATTAGGTTTATCTATATTACATAGGCCAGAATATTAGGTTTCTGTTTTGTGCCAGAGGGTTCCTTCAAAGATTACAACTGGCTACTCACTAATAGCCAACTTGACAGAGTAGGTTTCCTTATATTTCTTTTTTGTCATGTCCCACTACCTACCAATTACTGCCCAAAACATTCCTCCCTCAGCCCTAGACACACGAAGGTACTGGGGAGACATTGGAATTGGGGGCATAGTCTGGAATTGGGTCATGGAGACATCATGGAAAAATTTAGGCTACATGAAATTCTGCAGCAGTCAACACAAGGCACTGGCCAGTGGAGCCAGGAGGTGTTCCTCTGTGGCTGAGCTGGGGCCACACACTCTTCATGTGTCCAATAATGGCAGCTATCGATGTTTTACTTTCCCCCCATATTTCCAGGCATTATCCACTCTAACATAATGTGACAGCACATTTTAAAATTCAAGATAGATTCTCCCAAGCTATTTTGTTTCCAAGTGACCTCACCCTGTCATCATTTGTTAGTGCCTAGGAAATATTATTTTTAATATTAAGCAAATATAATTATTTAGGTTCAAGTGCCAAAAATACATAGAGTGCACACCAAAGCCAAATATATATGATTTGGGGTTACTGATGCTTTTGCAATATCTCTACTTCTTTTCTCTCCCACTAGAATAGATAATTAACAGTTGATTGAAATTCCAAAGCAGCATCTGTGTAAGAAATGATCCAACTCATAATATTCAATGGTTGCCTACTTTGAAAATATCCTCTTAACTAATTTGCTTTATTATCTTTCCAAGATGTGTCCCTTCCGATTTGAGTCACCTGGAACAAAGTGGCCCATTTGGCTCAATCTGCTATTTCTTTTGGCTCACACTCTCATAACATCACAGTACAACTGACTTCACATTCAGAGCAGAAAAATTGCTCTGCCAACATTTGCTAATAACACTATCTCTCTTTACCACTGGGCAGGTTATTATTTTCTAGGTAGAAACAGAAAAACAAAGAGATGTTCATCATGTTTTATAAACGTTTTTTAACCTATTAATAGAAATTTTTAAAAAAAATTAAAAAAGGATTTCTTGAACTTTTGGAAAGAAAACTAGTTATGATCTAAAAGTTAATATTAAGGATGTTAGTCTAGAGTATTTAATGCATTTTTCCATAGAGGCATTGATACAAATTGTGGCTGGATTCCTAGTATTGTAATGACTTGTCTCCTGCCTACCTCATCAGTCTTTCCTTTTTCCACTCTTCCCAAACTTCTGTTTCATTTATTCCTGGATTGGTAAACTTTTTCTCTGAAGACCCAGATAGTACACACTTTAGACTTTGCAAGCCATGTGGTCTCCGTCACAACCGCCCAAAGCTGCCATTACAATGTGGAAGTCATCATCAGGCAATGTATAAATGAATGTGTTCCAACAAAAATTTATTTATGGACACTGAAATTTGAATTGCACATCATTTTCATCTGTCACAAAATATCATTTATCTTTTTTACAGCCATTTAAAAATGTGAAATCAGTCTTAGCCGGCCAGTTGTAGAGGAACAGGCGGCAGTGGGATTTGGCCCATGGGCCATCATTTGCTGATCTACACCTGCTTTCTTTCGATTTTAAACATTACCAAACTCGTTCACATACAGTGCTTTACCCATGCCCTTCCGTCTACCTGGTAGGCTCCAGACTTTTCCACTTTCTCTTTCTTATACTCCTCCTTTCACCAAAGTCACTCACACTCAGCCCCATCATCTTCAGAACTCACCTCAATTGCTACGTTTTTAAAGAACTCTGCCATGAATCCAGTATCAACTCTGTCTTCACCCCAGACTACAGCGTGTCCTGAGCTTCCTTAGAGAAGTTTATCATAACTGTAGTCAATA